AACAGCAAATAGCGATCGATAGGGTCTCTAGTATGCGGGCAAGTGCTGCCTGTTGGCCAATCTGCAGCAAAGTGCGCACGTTGAGGCATGCCAATCTTAGCGAGACACGAGGACTCCAAAGGGAAACGGATGAAGTGACGTTGTCCGCTTGGTTGAGCCTGGACTTGTCGACTGGATTGAAGCGACGCGCTGCGATTGTGTATGATTTGAAACTAGAAGACAAGCGACTATTGAAGCAAGCAGGGAGAGGGCCAAGAATTGGGTGATTGAAAATGGGGGGATAAAAGTAAAGTTGTAGCGGGACGATAAGGATGAAGAAGCGCAAGAAGGGGGATAAGAAGACGGGAAGGCCTGAGCAGTAGCATCCATCCCCCTATCCACCCTGCTCGATGCAGCAGATAGGGCACCGTTGATTATTCTCTGCGACGGCCAGAGCATCAAGAAATTGTTGTAGGAAGGTTTCATTGTATTGCGTGGGCAGAATACTGTCAGGTTGCCCAGGCCTAGACAGGAGAACGATTAGGGTTCTCAACCAAAGCCTTTGGTTCAAAAAAACGTACCGCAAGGCAGCGGGTTAGGCGTTGGGCTACAAGGAGTCCGTTTTACGAAATAAGGAGCCACCCTCATTCCAAACCCCAACCTGGAGGACCAGGAGACTGAGTTTGTCTGGCCTCTAACCATTGACCAATCTGGCATGAGTGACTCTGCAGGTGCAAAAAAAGCACCACCCAGCAAAGATCAATGGATCTCTGAAGCACGCAAACCATCGCACCACGGTAAGGTCCAGCCTCATTGCGATGGAACATGGAAAAGTAACTACGTGACATTGACAATTTGATACTCAAACACTAACGTGCGTTAGTTATGCTTATGCCACGTACAAATCTCTGTCCAAAAGGAAGTGGATCCCAGTATGCTGGAGAGAGTAAGAATAATGAGCCAATTTGTTATAACGGAGGTATAATACTCCATTACTTCCAGTTGTGTTGTGGGTTTTATTCCACTCACCCCTATTTACCCCGTCCTCTATTACGGTTCCCCATATACGTTTTCTGTTACCTTACCTTTGTGACTAGGGTTGACACTGAATCTTATGCTTAATTAATTAACTCCACGTTCATTAAACATACAAATTTTTCCATCGATCCCTGATCCTAAGCAATGAATTCATATCATGAATGGGTGTACCGTCACTTTTGTGATGATGAACACTGAACAATCGTTCGTTATGGGTGAAGACAGAAGACGAAGGATGCAGTGGGATTCTATCGTGGAATATACGGCCCTCTACTCCAACAGGAGAAATGGATCATCTATGCTCAGCCGAATATATGTGTCATTGTCATCTCGTTAATGCGGATCTATGATTACAAAGTGGACGGCCGTGCTGTCGAAACGCATTAAGGCCCTAGAGCGCCTCAGATGAACACAGGACAAAGAAGGCAGATAGTTGCAACCCCCTCGAAATCAAGCTATAGAGTGGAATCTATCTGAATGTCACAAAGCAGTAAGCTATACACAAGGGAAGTAGTGGTTCCGATCCAGCCATGAACATTTATTTTTAGCGATGACATGCATGGCTCAAGAACCGAGCATTATAGCAATACGCCAAGGAGGGACGAATGTCCCGGCGAAATGGGAAACAATTGTCAAGATAAAAATAGAGGCACTTAGGGCGGAACGGTTGTCTCTGTCACGGTAGTTAGATAATGATCGTTTTTAAATAAAATTAAAGTAAGCCCCTCGCATATACGCAACGTAAACACTCAGGGAGTGTCGAATTGTCGAAACACAGATATCAGGTATAACAAATTTGGTCAGTCCTAATGAAGAAAGGTTTTTTGCGGATGCCGAGTGTACTAACCTCATTTTAATAGTAATCGGCCTTTGTACGACCCCGCGTGATTCTGGAAACAGCCAGAATTTTGTGCGATATAGAGGAAGCATTTGCGCTCGCCCCGTATCTATCCATTTTAATCTGGTATGTGCGCTCCAAACGATCGACGTCGCAGATTGCTATATCCGGAACATTTACAATGGAATCTTTAAGAACTAGGATGTCCGGCTTGATAAAAGACGTCGGGATTAAAATCTGTGATTCTGGGATAACGCGTGCACTTCTTTTCAGCAAGGCTTTGACAACCTGTTGGGCTATAACATTATGGCGTTTACAGCGGGCATCGTGAGTTATTTCGCAGGATTTCAGTACGTGGGATATGGTTTCCTTTTGCCCGTAATTCCCGTGACAAGCAAGAGAAGTAAGTAGAGGAGGGCTATCTCTTACTCTACGAGCCTTGTTTGAAAAAAGATCCCCGCGTAGTTGAATTCCTCGGATAAAAAGTCGTGGAAAAATCTTCGCCGATTCCATCAGCCAATGATGAGAAGTCGGGGTATTCTGCCTCCAGCATAATGCACACTCATCGGCTGAGCTCAGGAAAGCTCCTTTCCAAGCTACCGCAGCTGAGGTTTTATCCATGACGACATGACTGCCGACGTAAACAGGTGAGTTAGCAATCCGGTGGAGAGTAGCGGTCGCCCGATCTCGAATCGCCCAACTAGTAATGGGACGGGAATTCACAAGAGGCCTCAGCAACCGCGTTTTCCGCAATAGCAGTACGTTAGCAGTTAAGGATGGAAATGTCAAGCCCCAAATCCTTGAGAGAGGCGTTCAAGTACGTTAATGATGTACCCGTTAGTAAGCATAGCCATCTGCGGACATAAACTCTCACCAGTCTATCCATGTGTTTCAAGGTTTTCCGGTGAACCACAGAGAGACAGGGGGCATGAATATGGTGAGAAATTAAAAACGTCCGTAAAATATCCAACTACTGTCCCGCAATCCTATTACCGGTACTTGCAAAGGTAATGGGGCCATTGTTGCTGATGTGCCAACGGTTTATTTAGACAAATTTAACTAAGTCGTGCTTCCAACGAAATCGATCGTGCACTACAAATCAACTGCTAGCAGGACCCAGGTGGACCGATGCAGTAAACACTGGCATAGGAGTTAATGTAGTGTTTCTCGATTTCTCAAAACCATTTGACCGGCTAGACTATTGCACTCTGCTCTCCAAACTTCAAATCTTTGGTATGGGTGATCCACTGCTAAGGTGGATCTGCTTTCTCCTACACCGACGTTTAGAAGTAAGAATGCATAAAGCTTTATCAGATCCCATCCAAGTTGAATCCGGAATACTACAGGGATCGGTACTGTGACCACGGTTATTCTTGATGTACATCAACGACATCACGAGCCAGTTTGCTGCATGCCAGGAGTGTCCAAAGTCCGGCTTGGGGGCCACATTTGGCCCGCGGCCTCATCATGAAATAATACATTCCGGTTTGGACGTTTTTCGGCCATGTGTAAGTTTCATTATTATCTTAATGTTAGACTGAATATGGCCCGACATATTTTTACCTCACAAAATGTGGCCGACCTTGCAGAAAGTTTGGACACCCCTGCTCTATGCCGATGACATCAATGTGTGGAGGGTGCTCAATACAGAAAGTGATATTAAGCTACTTAAAGCCGATTTGAATAGGGTTTACGCGGGTTCAACCCAGAATCTACTTTGGTCTAATGTGGATAAATGTAGAGTGCGGCACTTACGGCACTAACCGGCGTGTTCGTACAAACTCGGCAACTAGGAGCTTCAAACGTCTTCTGGCGAAAAGAATCTAGGCGTTTTGATCCTGGCCGAGCTTGAATGTTTGAGTCAGGCAGAACAGGCTGTAAGAAGGGGCATCCAACAGATGGGTGTCCGGCGGCGTGCGTTCGGACGATTCGACCCGTACACATGAGGAATATGCAATACAGGTTGGGCAGCCATGGCTGAGATATCTCACCGCCTTGGAGATACCCCAACAACGGATAACCAAGAATATCAGAGGTTTGTGTCATTTTACGGTGTGATTGAAGGATTCTAGTGCTCGAGATCTTCAGCAGACAATACCAGCGAAAGCATGGGGATCTTAAGTTGACTTACCAGATTTTGAGAGATTCCAACCACACGTGCCGCCATTTTCCAGATCGTAGTCACAACAGTAATCTGAGGCAATCTTAAGCTGGTAGGGCAGTACAGTCGTTTGGAGTACCATCGGAATTTCTTTTCCGTATGCATTTGTCAAGCGTGGAACGCCCTCCCTGAATCTGTCATCTGTGCTCCCACGTTGGTAGAGTTCAAAGCTAGAGATAGGCGTGCACTTATTTCACTGCACCATCCCACATCACTCATTGTCCATAGTCAAACGCGAGTGCCTGTTCAAGATTTCACTAACAGTCACCTCTCAGAATACGTCACACCTTTTGTACCTCCTGTATTTGTTCACCAGGAGGTGGCACAATTTGCCATCATTTCTTGTGGATGCGCAGTTTATGATACGTATACCGCGGTGAGTCTACCGGTGTGAACCTACTATTGTTGACAATATTTTCCATATTTTGAATTCTCACCATGACTATCCTACCGGATCTGTTAAGTTATAGCTATTTACCAGCATAAAACCATTGTTCCAGCCAAACTCTCTTAGGTCGTTGGATCTCTTAACCCTGCACATGCTATATACACCTATTAGATTGATCGCAAGACACGATATTTAGTTGGTAGGGATTAGGCAACCGGCTCAAACCACACCAGGTCAGTATCGCCTGAAGAGCTCAAATGAAGACAAAGTCGAGATTGAAGCATTGCTTTATGGGTGTATGGTAGTATAACGCAGTTAATCGAACCAAAGCGACATTGCTTTTTAAAGGACAGTACGAAATCCGAATGGGGACGACACGGTAAAATTCAACTACTTAGTGGAAAACCCGATACTAGTGAACTGATTCAACAATACGAGTCAATGGCTGCATCAATACACCTAAGCCAACTACAAATTATCCTAGTTGGGATAGAACATTGCACCTGATGAAAAATATAGCATGTGAGAAAGCACTATCAGTTATGATCGCATAGTGAGTAATGTGAACAATTTCTAGCGTTGACGAGGAAGCTCACCTTTGGATGTATGTCTGGAATGTGGTATTCTGAGATAGGTTGCATAGGCTGGGAATCGAGTGAAGCCAGTGGACCGTAGAACATGGCCTCAAACACGGGCGATGCAATCGACAGGACCAGTCGGTGGGCGGCGAACCGTGTGCACCTAGCTTGCACATGAATTGTCTTCAGTTGCTTCACTGTCTCCATCAATGTATCAGTCTCTTCCACATCCGACTGAATGCTCACTGAATGTGACCTGTCGTGGATGGACGATTCGCTACGTGAGGTATGCTTGTGAGCAGATGTGGGAATTTGCGATTGCGAGATATCATTGTTGTTATTGCCCAGGTTGTGTAGCGTCCCGAATGTAGTCAAATCTTTGGCCAAGCTATGGCAGGATTGGAAGCTTGGCAAAACGAGTAACGGGCTGCTGACACACGCGGATGACCGGCTAGGGTTGGTCTCCTTTGAGTGACCAATAATAATCCGTACCTCCTCGTCAGCATCTGAAGCACTGTCGGTTACTTCTGTGTCCAAAGAACTAGGGTTGCACACGGCATTCGAAACAATGGACTCTGTGCTGCCCGCAGTATGACTCAAAGCTCGAACTGGAGAAATGGAGTGACCGTTCCGACTGATTGCATCCAGTGGAAGTCGGTTCTGTTGTGGAACATGATGCCTCATACTCGTCGGTCCTCCTGGGGCACCCGGATCTGGTGACGTCATTTGCGATGATATACCGCTGGAAAAAATGTCAGTGCCACCGACATAGAAATAAACATCCACGAAACGTTCCGTCAGTAGCAGGCGACGCCACAATTCCCGAGTCCCGGAGCAGCTCAACTGGAAACGGCAGGATAAGTTTTAGAACAATTTGAAAACGTCCACCCTAAATATATTTGAAGGAATTGGAAAACTAGAATAATCCACTTTATACAATAATCCGTGAATTTCCGACGAATAACTCGGTAGCTCAGTTGGTAGAGTAGCGGACCGGTAATCCGTACATCCGGGGTTCGAGTCCCCGTCGAGGCAGATTAGTGTGCAAGGTTTAATCGTGGCTTCTGCCTTCTACTAACACTATACTAACACTATACAAAACACTATTTACCATGTGTCCTCGACCTAAGCAACAGTTGCTAAGCTGAATGATCATACAAACAATACTGTGATAAAGCGCTTCAATGAAATAAATTGGGCTGGCCCGCACTGAAAGGTGGTGTAAGTCAAAACCACAAAGTTCGATCTTCCGATCAGACTAGGCAAATTGTCCTGCATTGTCTGTCAACCGCCATCAATCACCGTGAGAAAAATGCTTTCCGGTGCTCATCACAAGTGATATGCTGGTGCACTGGTAAGACTATTCCCTATCATATTTATTTGCCTGCAGCAGTTTATTCATTATTTAGCAGTTTGAGAATCATGATACGAAAGTAAGTGCTCAGCGGAAGCCTTTGATTGGGAATTCTGAGCAAAATACAAGTTCCATCAATTGTACTTAACACAATTCTGTCGTGTACGATAAGCAGGTCGAGCAATAACATATTTGTACTGGGTAGAAGGGCAATAAAGGTGAGAGGCGGGTCAAGATGACCTAATTTTTCAACGTCTACTCTCATATCACTGTTTATACGAGTCTGAAGTGGGGTGATAAACACGAAATACCAGATATAAATTCTGAAACACCTGCATGTCCGAGCCGTAGTGGTATTCGGCTACTGTGGGCACGTTATTCAAGTCAAATTTGGCTAGTGCATCGGAAGGCGAAAATGCATTTTGTCACGCAAAGCAGTTAAGCATATGGCATTGCTATTACGATCACCTGGCCTTTATGATACGGTGTTATAAAATATAAAATCATTTTTCTCCTCATTGAGAACGATCCTAGTCGGTGAGGACTAGGTAGTTAGACCTTAGTGGTTAGGAGCAGATTCGCATGGCCATTTCCACTGAAGGCATCTTTCAGGGGCGACCTTGTGGCTTACGTGCTGAATGAATAGTTGAACTGCGGTTGCTGGAGTCTTGAATTCTCAACTCAAGAAGCCCACAACGCATGCGTTTACGATGTCGCCTAGTGGGATCATGAGGAAAGGTGGAAAGGCCAGCGCTTCTTCACATTTCATTTGCGACTATCCCATGGGACACCATGCGTATGTTCGCGCGAAACAGTGGAACGGCAGATGGGGCTTCGCTCAGGTGTATGGCGAGTTAAACTGATATTCATTTACAGAAAGCTTGCACCAAGGAGCGCACTTCAATACATATGCCTTGATCCGAGAGGTGGAGTATGAAGAGCCTTTCGCTTGTATTCCCTTGAAAAATGACAGACGCAATGTGACAGTAAAGATCGGTTCGCGATTGCTCCCAATGGAATTGGATTTCTAGCCACTTGTGAGTTCGGTACCAAGGCCTTCACATGCAGAAAGATTGCGTGCACGCACACATACGTGCGCTGAAGGCTTTTGCCAGCCTTTCCCTGACCAGTTTTAGGTAATTATGTATTTTGTCAGACGTAGAGCATTCTCTACAAAATGTGCACAGAGGTGGGTGATCAAGCTGAGTGCGGAGAAGGAAGATCAGGTAAAACAGACACAACGCTCCAGACTGGTTAGCAATTACTAACTGGTGGAACACAATAGGCTGCCAATGTTGGCTTAATAGACTTATCAATGCATCATAATCACATTTGGTGTAAAACAAACAGTGTCCTAATTGACTCTTCTACTTCATGCTTTTGGTTCATAAAGTAAAAGGCCAATGTGATTTTAGTGTAGTACACTTCGGTGGTTATCGCTAATCGCTTGAATCGCTGCATCTAACTGTGTAGCTGCGACTGTGTAAGCCACATGGGCCTTCGTGGTGCCCATAGTAATTTCTGTAGTAGATTCACCATCCGAAATGGCACAAGCATTGACAAATAAGGAAGAGCATTATTTATAGTGATATTTCAGTGATCGCCAGAACTGGTGGTCTGTTGGTTTAGATCCGAAACGGGCTAACAAGCAGTGTAACAGCAGATATTGTTTCGAAACAAAAGCCGGTAGTCCTTGTGTTGTGTCATTTATTGACGATAAAGAGCCAGTGGTCTTAGTATTGACAAGAGAGGGAAGCATGAAAGAATGCGAAAAGAGCAGAGTTGATCTGAACGATTCAGAGGTGCCACGACATTGATAGAAAGCCACCTACACGTCACAGTAACAAATTCAAGTACAGAACAATTGGAGGATGCAGTGGTGGACGGTGAGTTAAGGCTCTCTGGACCAGTGATCCCTAAACGTGGAACTGTATAAGTCAATACAATACTCAGCGACACTATAATCCGAATGGAAGACCTAACAGACAAAAAGATGTGCAGCCAAGCATACAATACACGAACTGATGTTACTTAGTGACTCGAGCACAACAACAATTGATGCACTAAATGCGTTTCTATCGGAACATGCGAGATGACGTATAAAGTGAGGCAACATTCTCCTGTAAATTTTTCCTCGGTTGATTAGACATCATTTCCGATCGGTCATGTTTTCCGTCGCAGTAGCGGTCAAAAGCACATGCATTTGCTTCACCGTTCAGCAGCATGCCAAGTGCACTCCATAATTTGGGGTACTATCCCTCTAACTATCAAACATGATAAAAACAGATGTTTGAGAATTTAAGTTTCATTTTGGTTGAGCACCTAACATTGAAAGAGAAAAAGTTAATAGGAAGGATACGAAGGATACGAATAACCAAGGTTCTGATTGGAAGGCTCAGCATTTAAGAAGTCGCGGCTGAGTTTCGAAACTTAAGGAAACGCGAAAAATGCAGCGAAATCGGACTTAGAGTAATCGGAGTCTAATAAAACATTCCAACCCCCGTGTATTTCGATGCCATTGAGACCGGAGTGTCACACGCGACATACTGTTACAATCCCCACTGCATTTCTGCAAGAGAAACAGTCGTTTGCTTACGTTTTAATTAGACACGTCAACTGCAGAGCTAACAAGCCAGCCAACTTATGACACCATTTGTCAAGAACTAAAATGATGTAACAACACATCAGCACGATTGGTTCGGTTCAATGTATCACGTGTGATCCAAACGTCAGTGAGCGATATAGCATTTAAAGAGTGTGTGATGGAAAAGTCTCACACCTGTCAATCGGAACGACAGATAGAGCGTTGGAATCATGTGAGGAAACACTTTGCTCGGAAGTAATTGATTGACTCACTGATAAATGTATGCCAGAACCACTTCCAGTTACTCGTGTGCCCGATCCTGCTGCAGTCGTTCAGTAGACGACAGGCTGACCCAATCTCCGTCATTTGTACGTGTAAGAAAAGTAAATCGCCAGCTGTAGGCTGTAACGACGGTTCGTTGCAACGCTACCATCACCAATCGCGCGTGCGCTAAGTATAGCACGGAGATGCTCACCCTTACGCGGATTCGAACCGGTGACCTTATGGTTGCAAACCAGACGCGCAGACCACTCGGCCACCGCCCGACTGGACACAGTGGAGCCTAACCGAACTGGGTGCGTTGTCTACAAGCAGTGCATACTGAGGTGGGAGAACGGCAAGTATGCAGAATAAGCTCCTGATTTAACGGTGAGCTACCAAGAGGGTTGAGGCAAAACACTGGCTGACAAAGTTGGTGAGATAGCGGATACCATTTTGGCTACAAGGCCTTCAAATTGACTCGTCGTTCTTGGTGCTCTTCTCGTTGGATGCACACACTGTACAACATGTCATATAGCAAGCTCATCGAGCATACATAAGATAAAGAAAGTTCCTCAGTGTATAGACTTGGAATATCATGACACCTGCGGTTAAGTAATTAGCTAGTCTACTGCACATAAGACTTTTACAGTGCAGTGGTTGCAACACGATCGATTGGATTAACCCGCACAGGGTGCTTTCTCCAGCTCCAAGAGTAAAGGCATCAACTGACAAGGAGAGAGGATCTGAGGTTGGAATACTCTAACTGAATGCAACGTGGTTTCGTCGGTATTTTCACTGGGTCAACTCTAAATACCCGTGTCAGATCGTGGTTGCATCAATGAGAGCCACGCTTGTCTACGTTACCCTGACCAACACGTAGACCAGAACAAACATAATGCAACCGGGTATAGATAGATCGGGGAGTGTATGGTGAGTACGTTCAGTTATGACTTGAGGGTTTGTGAAAACTAGTCTACGCATGTATTAGCAGAAATTATTGACCAGTATCTATTGATAGTGGCCATAGCGGTTCGTATGCTTAGCCCAGTACTGTTACTATAGTCCGGACACAGCAGCTGAAGCTCCGAGTTCCCCATAGCTCCATAATGACACTACCATTCCGGCCAGCAATTCTACATAAATTAACAAGAAATGAACCGCTGAATGGGGATTTTATAATAACATATCAATCTGTTAACGAATACGACTTCAAACACAAGCTTACTCGCCAATCGTTGTAGTCAAACGTTGCTTCTTTGAATGTATTCATGGGTGTCGAGGCAGTGTGTTGCGTTCGGCTTATTGCGACGTTGTCATCTTCTTTGACAGTGACAATGATCGATCGCGGTGGCTGCTGTTCATTCGGACCGGAAAATGTTATGGGTACACCAGTTGATAGATCCTCAACACTACTGGCTCCGCTTACACTGCTTTGTGCGTCCGAACCTATTTGGACTCGTTGCTCGACAACCATTTCTGGATGCCTCACGTGTATGGGCCGATCAACAGGGCGTGACGATGATATGTTGATCATAGGCGAGGCGGAGATAATGCGGGGTGATAGATCGTCGTTGGAATCTTGCCGGAAAGCAGCTCTACGATAAGTTAGCTGCCGGTGAGATGGTCTCAGACGTGATGCTCGCTGAGTAATCCCTTCTTGCGTCGAATCACGGGCGTTGTAGCCAGAGTTGGGCTCCTCAGGCATAAAAATCAGTCTAGATGGTCGATTCGGATGGACTCTTTCCTGAGTCGAACTCGTCGGCTGTAGTTCATTCGATGTATTATGCTGAAGCATAGAGGGATTGGAAGGAGAATCTTCTGCCTGGTTATGCGTCTGGGCCCATGAACTGACCGCTCTGATGGATAACGAGCTTCCGTTATTATTCGAATGCGAAGCGGGATTAGCTGCAGGTTCGGTATCGCTGGTATTCAGGTTAGCATGTGAACAAAGTGAATTGGCCAAGGTAGTGACGGGTGCATGATCGTTTGGTCCCGACAAACTTGGTAACAGCAAGTCTACAGAATACCGGTTTAGGTTATTCCGTATGCGGCTACATGCTGTGCTACGCTCGCGTCTCAAGTGAGACGACCGAGCCCAACTTAGCTGTGGTTGGTCCAGACGGGAAAAGGAGTTTCCAGTTCCAGACAATGCAATCGACGTTTCATCCGAAGGCACAGGAGAAGGTTCACCAAGGTTAATCACGCTACCAAAGTGATTTGATCGAGTGTTTCGGACTGAAAAAAATGCAGACCAGAGGAGTGTGGTACTGGCTAAGTGACGAATGGATTGATTTACGTACAGATAAATGGCCTCATTTGATCTGGTTGTACAAAGTGTGTGGTCAGAAGTAAAGTTATGTAGATAACAGAACTAGTAGGGGCGCATATCACAAGGTAACAGTCAATACTTGAAATCGACGTGGAATATGTCGTGACTGGAGTAGCTTTTAATGTCAGGGTCTGCAAAATTTGGTAGACTATTTAAACATCATCTGCTCTACTACCCCCTTAGACAACATATTAGCATGCGGCTGTAAAAGAGAATGTGGCATATACTGAACAGCAGACAGATGCGAAGAAAAAACCAAATGTTGATTACACATACCAGTGGACTTCTATGATCGCAGAATTTTCTAGTCACGGGTCGACATCAAAGTGAGAGGTAGGGTACTCATACATTAGGTGTAAGTGGGGCCGAAAATCACTCTAGTCAGTATCCGATACTGCGAATACACGGAGCGGATCGATCTAGCCTGGCATCAGACAAGTAACGTCACAGGTCTACAATGGGAGGTCGATAAAGTCGATGCATGAAGCATTTAAAGCAGCACTGTCTTCCTAACGCCAAAGTGATTTCCTGTAAGGCTTCGGTGTCAGTTGGGTGTCCTTAAAATGCCGATGTTCACGTTTTACTACTACTACCGCTGAGTTTAAGAAACCAATCAATACGTTATAGACCTATGTTGGAGTATTTATAGCAGCTTATACTAACACCGTGGACATGCTACAAGGAAGCATCAGTGGGAGAATATACGAAATGACGAGGAAAACAAAAAGTGCATTTGCAGCCAAGCAAACGGTCTCGAAAATGATGGATCAATGTTTTTTAGTTAGATTAACAAGCGAGATGGATAGGGCATGATGGAGTTGCGATACGACCGGGTACGAGAAAATAATACTTTAGATTTCTACCGTGTTAAAGAAATATATATGGCAATAACTAAAACAGTGTGTACAGGGCAAAGGTGGTCGTTTAGAAACTAGATAAAAAATAGGAAGCATGCGTCAAAATGCTTACTAATAATAAAGTCAACGAGGACTATTTTGCTTAATCCAGAGCATAAGGGAAGAAAGGTTAGCAAGCGCACAAGAAGGATGCAGTGCTTTTGAAGAACAATACAACCAAAGGGGTAGAACATATACGTTTGCAAAAGTTGGAATTAAAGTACGAGGTACGAAGAGTAATGTGAGTCTGAGCACATGAAAGAAGTCTACCGACTTATAACAAAATTCAAAGAATATGTGGTGATCAGGACAAATTGGAAGACAAGAGAGCACCAAGATACTTGTGGTGGATAAAGTAGGGATATATCTGATACATTTAGCTGAAGGCATAATATTCAAAAACGCCGTTACACTTCTTCAATCGCTGAATATGCGTGTAAGTGGTTTTTGTTCGATACCTTCTAGCCACCTGCAAGCAAGAGTGCGGGCAGAACATCGAACAGTTCGTGCGAAACATCAAAC